TTTTCGAAATAGGAAACATTTGAACGGTACATTTGAGCAGTGGTGAAAAATAATCCCATTGCAAAAATGATAGGGAGGCGTCCATAAACAAATGACGCGGGTCGAACGATGCCGATCCGACGCATTTAGATGAAGTCGGTATATTTCTGCCGAGGCGTGCCCGTTCAGGTGGGTAATAGAGGCAATTTATACGGGGAAAAGGGCGTTTTCTGTGAGCTCTCGGCTCCTGTTCGACCATTTGTAAAGAGGTGATAGGATCCACCCAATAAAAATGTTAATGAAGCTTCAAGTGATTTGCCGCTCCGGCTCCCAGCCACTCACTTAACAGACCGATAAATACGAAGTCCCACCCTTTCAATTGTTCCCCTTATCCACCCCTACCAAACCTACTATCTTTATCCTATTACTTTATTGTTATATAATTTTTAAATCTAATCCACTTTGAAACTCCTAGGATTTTTTTCCGTCATGTGTCTCTTCTGTTATTTTTTCCCTCGCGGCTTAAACAAATCTATTTTCCTCCTTTCCCCACATGACTTAAACAGATAAAAGTTCAAAGTATTTGTCACAACTCAAAACATTCAAAGTGAATTGAAATGTGTCTGGTTAAATGTTAATATGAAACAATGTAAACTGTATTTTATCGCATAATAACTTTTGTCCGTTAATATACTACATCCATCGGTCTCTCTTATGTTTAAATGTAATTATAAACAGTAATTGTACTTCGTTTCCAATTAGGCTAAATTTCTAATATTAATTAATACATGTTAATTTCTCAGCCTCTGCATTTATAATTGAATCGTGTAATAATACAATAGTGGAATGGTATTAAATTCAAAATATTGATTAGCTCCGTTGCAACAGTCGGCGAAAATAATACACTGGCCACCCTAGTTCGATTATGAATAAAGTTTGTTGAGGCTGATTAAATTACCGAAAGTGGTTGTCGGCTTTTCACGTTATTTGCACTAAATGCATTCCGCGGTCCCTTTGGTCGTGCAAAATGACTCGTGATTCGGTTAAAATTACAATTCAAAAAATAACGTTTTACAAGTTCAAAATTATGAAATTGAACAACACTACAGTCAAAGTAGAGGAAGACTAGAAGAAATCAATTCACATAACTACTAGTATTACAAACGAATATCATCCACTCCACAATTAAGTGAGTACAATTTGATGAAAAAAAGTCAATGGCACGAGCGGGATTCGAACCCACGATATTCGGCTAGATACGCCGCTGCTCTACCACTTGAGCTATCGTGACCTCGATCCACTCGGACATCAACTTCCCATCTCAACCCCACCTTTTGAGTTTTCCCTCCTTTTTGCCAATTTTCAAATGTCGTGTAATCGGAACTCATAAGGTGGGGTTGAGATAGGAAGTTGATGTCCGAGTGGATCGAGGTCACGATAGTTCAAGTGGTAGAGCAGCGGCGTACATAGCCGAAGGTCGTGGGTTCGAATCCCGCTCTTGCCATTGACTTTTTTTCATCTTAACTAAAAACTTTAATTAATTGTAATGTATTAATTGGTCAAGCGGACCACGAAATTAGTGAATTTAAGTGAGTAATAATTGCCATAAAAAGATAACATGACTTTACATAAAATTACATGCTAATTTCATAAAGATAACGTGTAAAAAACATGTTAATTTACATTACATTTACATTAATCTAATTAATTATTCGTTTTATCTAAGGTTTTTGGTTGAGATGAATAATTAAACCAAAAACCTTAGATAAAACGAATAATTAATATGGTCAATTATGGCCACTACACAAATACTGATTAATTTACATGTTAATGTTTAAAGTTACATGTTAATAAAATAAAGGTAAATGTTTATTTATTAATATATTTCTAGCACTGCGGCATGTCCAGGAAGCACTTTAAGTACCACTCTTTTGTCTCTCCTCGCAGATGATCTTCTCCCTGCTTTGAAAAACCGTTTGACTATGCAACGCTAAATATACAGTAACTCACAGATTCGTTCACAGCTGAATACAAATTCGGTTATATCATTATTTACTTTACAAAACAATTGTAGGACTTCAAATAAACGTAGTTTTTTTAATAATTTTGTTTATCCTAACACAAAAAACACCCAAAAAATTGACTTGTTCCTTTATCATGATTATTAAAATAATATAAAAGAAATTACCGTGTACAAACGAAAATATGATTGTGTCATAGAAAGTCCTTTAATATTTTGTATGTCCTCCTTTGGCTTTCAAAACCGCATCAGTCCTTCTGGGCATACTTCTCAAGAGGTTTCTGTACTGTTCTGGACAATTAGGTCCCATTCAACTTGTGTTTTTCCCCAAAGTTGATCGAAGCTTGAAGCGTGTCCTGCAGCATCGGCTAAAGATTTTTTAGTTTGTCCCACAAGTGTTTAATTGGATTAAGGTTAGGTGACTGTGGGGGCCATTCCATGACATGGACCACGATCATCAAGCCACTGTTTGGTCAGCTATGGTTTCTTCACTTTTCCCGTCGCTCTTAATCCGGCCTCACGTAAACATCTCCGTTTGTTTCAGCACTGACATCCATGTTTTCATTATGACGCGGCCTACACTGAATTTGGACAGCATTATCAACCAGTCCTGATCAAACGGAGCGTAGATACAACGCCTTTTGGCCTCGGAAAATTTTGTTTTACGACCACTCCCCTTCTTTTTAAAACAACTATCGTAAATTACGGAAGATCTTTTAGGTTTTGTTATTACCCCAATAATAACAATTTATATTATTTTGAAATTTCACGATAAGGAAGTCCTTCTTGTAGAGATTTTATTATTTGATCTTTCAAAAATGTTGAAAATGGCTTCATACTGTAATTAAATGAAATAGATCATAACCATTAAGGAAAGCAAATATTTTCAATATGTAAAAAGAATAACTAAATTGATGATACCTGATAAAAAATTTGAGACGAATTATTGAATGGTTTTTGCGAAATTTGCAATGAAGTAACCCGAGTCACAAAACTGTTCACACGAAGACTGGTAATAAACTGGCTCAATTCAAAGGTATAAACATAAATAAAGATTATTAGGGTGAATGTTTGTTTACCAACAGTTCAACGAACTCAATCCTATGGCTGTTGTCTGGATTAAAAAATATGGGATTTGCAAACTAGAGATAATAGAAAATTGTTTACCGATGTGAACAAATATGTATGTTACTGTATATATATATTTTTTTTTTCCTTAGCCTATAATATCCGGCCACAGTAATTTTACGTGGACATAGGACGCCCCGGCCGCCAGGACCCCATACACCGAAAGTGACCGCCTGCAGCAGGACGGAAGGAGACACCTACAACAATCATTACCTTATTTGTATACTGTGACCCCTTCGGGGACATTGATAAAAACCATTGCATAACATTAACTATGTAGATTGGCATGGAAAAGTCCACATCCCCCAGGTCACAGAAGCTAACATGCCCGTATCCTCCTCCCTGGATTCCTCGACAGGGTCCAGGCCCCAGGCGACCTAATATTTCACGATGTTCAATTTTCACGATTTTGCGAAATTAAACATTTACACGATCTTCGGGTAAATAATCCGATGCACTACCACTTGAGCTACTGCCTTCGATTTTCCATGCCACAAACTTGACATTTCGATGGAAAACATACAATAATTGTTTAAAGGTTCCACGTGCCTAAGCCATCAAGATATGTTAAAAGTTCCTCTCGGGAAAGAGTACTATTATGAAAGAATCTTTCCTTAAACTCCTTATGGCACGGGCACATCATTACATACGCATAATACGTAATACAATACGCATAAATGCCTCGACAGATTCCTAAACTTATTACAATTTAGACGCAACAGCTCACCTCTCGCTTTGATTATCCAGCTTATTTAATTAATTAGCGTATTGTCATTTACGTAATTTATATCCTTAAGTTCATTCCTTTATAAATTCATTTCTTTATAAATCCGGTTGGTGGAAGAATTCAAGGCTTTTTAAATACATTTTTTCTTAAAGGATTATCTCATTTTAGTGATACAATTTTTAACCTGAATCAACTATTCAGGTACTTAAACTATAGGTAAAATCTAGATCTACTTCTGATATTATATTATTGATTTGTTACACCATAGTAAATTGCATTGTATAATTTCAAGAGTAATTTAGGATACCTACGCTCTGTGTAAAATTGTTTATTAGATATAATTTAAATGTAGCTGAAGAGTATAAACTATACTATAACCTAAGGTTGATTTCCAAACAATTTAGGTGAGCCGGATTATTAAGTAATTAAATAGTTTTTCAATAAAAAAAGTATTGGAATTCGTTTAATTCCTCATATTGTTTGCATCTCCAAATTGGGGCACCATAACAGAGTACAGATGGAAATATCGAACAGTAAACTGGCATTTTCGATGTGCTTAGAATTTTTTGAGACAAAAATTTCATTTGTTGCCGAGAATCCAATCCGATTATCTCAACTAAAAACCTTAATTAATTTAATCAAGCGGACCCGAAATTAGTGAATTTAATGATTTAAAATGAAGTATACTTCACTAAAGCTCTCCGTGGCCATTTCATTTGTCGTCGATAATCCAATCCGATCACACGACATTTGAAAAATGGTAAAAAGGAGGGAAAATTCAAAAGGTGGGGTTGAGATGGGAAGTTGGTGTCCGAGTGGATCGCGGTCCTGATAGCTCAAGTGGTAGAGCAGCGGCGTATCTAGCCGAAGATCGTGGGTTCGAATCCCGTTCGTGCCATTGACTTTTTTATCTCAACTAAAAACCTTAATTAATTGTAATAGTAATACATTTTTATATTTTAGTTGCTCGTCCTCTGTTTCTGAATGTTATTGTGTTTGACTGAAAAAAATGTATCTTTAAATTCCAAACCACACAATATTGAGAAAAGGAGTCTTATTTTTTTCATATCAAGAAGATTGGTCCCAAGCAGAAACAAATCATCAGCGTATGCGTTTTAGAAAGTCCATTAGACGTTTGTTTTAGAAACAACAATGTATTTGAAGTGTAATAACATTAAATTGCTCCATGTCATAAAGTAGTTCATAATCGAGAATGTGCAACTTAATATCTTTAAACTACTTTAAATATTTAAACAGAATGAAATTTATTTTTGGTTGAACAGTTGATACAAAACAGTGAATGAAGAGAACACTTCTCGTACAACCTAGAAAAAACGCAATAATTATTATCCTCCACTAATCCTCTACGAAAATAGGAGCAATAACTCACGGTTTCGTACGTGTGTAGCGAAAGTTCAAAGACGTAAGCCCCTCTTAGAACAACGGGCTTGACCGTAAAGGTTTGCACAAGGGCCAAGGATTTCCTGACGCTCAGATTTGTATTGTACCAGGCGTTGTTGTAAGCCGCAAAATGGATGTCGCCGCACTGAAAACAACATGTTTGAGATATACGCCTCGTCACAATTGTCAAATTGGAACTTACTCGTTTTTTTATTAGCTCCCCTGCCCAGCAAGCGATGTAAATTTGGGCGAAGATGACGCTGGTCCAAGGCGCAATTTTAAAACCCTCTTTCACCATATCATCACTCTGGGAAAACGCAATTCAATAATTCAAATTTTTTTTAAATATATTTTCTTACCTGAGAAACTAAGAAAAAAGCGAAGAGAAGAGAAGTGAAAGAATTAAATGCAAGCGGAACAAAAAATTCATCTAACATCTTGGACAGAATTTGGATATGGCTGCAAAACACTATTTTAGTTATGTCAATTGCTCATCACTTTAATCAATTGCTCATAATTTTTGTTTTAATTTACCCTAAAATTGTATTGAACTCTTGAATGCATGTTTTCAAAAGTTTTTCATCATCTACCTCTCCTTGGACACTAAGGACGTTATTAATTTCCAGCTTTCCCTTTCGTTCCTCCCCAATGTGTCCGAGAAGTTCCATCGTATTTTTCAAGATGTACAGTTTGTGGCATATCTGATTGGTAATATGCAAAAAAAGTGTGTCGACTGGAAAATTAGATAACGTTTTCAGCATCATCGAGGTCTGAAAGAAAATAAGCATTGACACCGAAGCTGACGGTGTGTCCGGGACTACGAACGGTGTCCAGAACGGCATCACAAGCTTTTTCGGCCTCTTGATCAAGATTTCTATGACCGAAAACGACCTATAAGTCAAAGTAAGAAGTTCATAAAGTATTGTCAGCCTGTATGTCAATTTGCCAGTCGGAGTATCCGCCTTGTAACCGTTGGTCGCGTCCATAAGATTTTTTATATTCTTCCTGTTCCAGAAGAGTATCTGAAGCTTGAAAAAAGCAGAGGTACAGCTTATCACGCCCGTTATGGAATAAATTCTTGAAGTGAATGAGTACTCTGTGTAGAACATAGCGCCTAATAGAAAGCATAAGACTAGAGTTGGAAAAAGCAATGAAAGAGTCAAAAATACGCCTGCAAACCAAAATTTGGCCGCTTTTCCGCATTCACCGGGCAACGAAATGCCGAGCAGTCTCAGGACTGTCCTATGCTTGAAGTATACATCTAATGCCATTTTTACACTGGGCAGTTTCAGTTTACATGTTGAAAAAATCAGCATTAACAATGTAATCGTTGAACCCATTAAAGTTAAATATTGTTATCATTAGGAAACGAATAATTGATATACGGTGGTCACGTTACAAAACATTGTTCAGCTCATAATTTTCCTTTTTGAAAATTCATGAGAAACAATTTTACAAAGAATAAAACGCTAAGCTTGTTGAGCTTAGCTGCTTTTACTGGTCTTAAATATAATATGAAATATTAATTATTCTTACCGAATCTCTCTCTCTTTCTCTCTCTCTCCCACTCTGTCTCTCTCTGTCTCTCTCTCTGTCTCTCTCCCTCTCTCTCTCTCTCTCTCTCTCTCTCTCTCTCTCTCTCTCTCTCTCTCNCACACACACACACACACACACACACACACACACACACACACACTACCTATCTTTTCTTCTCTGTATTTCATTTTATCATGCTCATTTTACATATTCATTTAAAGTATATTTGTATTGAATTAACAAAATTGATGCTAGTCAAAGGTCAACCTGTTGTGGTTTAAAAATAGGTCTGTAATCGATTCATAAGCCTATTGGACAGAAATTGATATGTTATAGTTTGTTGTAAATTGATATGTTGTATTGTCGTATGAAGGGCTTCTTACTCAAATACCTCGATAATTATCGAGCATTCTAGGCAGATGAGTGAAGTCTAGCGTGCGCTTAATAATGTCATTTATTAACATGAATGGAGAGACTTTGTTCAAATTACCACGAGGAATATCATGTAATCTTGGCCAGTATGAATGCAAACCAGACTAATTTCTTTGAAATATGTACATTTTTTTTATATGAGTGAAGTTCATGTGCTTGTCATATATATACTTTTATCCTTCATTCCTTACCCTGAGGAAGAGAGAGCTGGCAATAGGAAACGAAAGAGTCAGTTATGCTAAGATCCGAAACTTAACTTTCACGAATATAGCTTGGTTACAGCGTCGGAAAAATGAACTATAAGGAATAAAATGTGACAAGGAAAAGAAAAAAAATAAGAAGAAGAGGAATACCGATAACCAACTTAGCTTGCTTGCCCTAAAACTTTCTTCAATACACAGTATGATTGATTAGTTACTATGTTCTAACTTTTATTGTTGTTAAATACAATTATTATTTAAACTTTATTAATATTAATCCATTTATGTTTAGTGGTCTAATTGGCCATATTAATTATTTCAATTAATTATTTTTCTTTATGTAAGATCTTGGTTGAGATGAAAAAGTTAGTATCACGAGCGGGATTCGAACTTACGACCTTCGGCTAAATACGCCGCTGCTATAACCACTTGAGTTATCGTGAATTTCATCCACTCTGACACCAACTCCCCATCCCAACCCCTCCTTTGGAATTTTCTCTTCTTTTTACCATTTTTCAAATGTGTATCTATTTGATTCTCGGCGACAAATGAAATGGCCACGGAGAGAAGACCGTGGGTTCGAATCCCGCTCGTGACACTGACTTTTTTATCTCGACCAATACCTTTCATAAATATAAATTAATTGAAAAATGTTAATTGGTCAATCGGACCACGAAATGTAATGGATTAAACTGAAGTATATCTTCACGAAAGCTCTCCGTGGCCATTTTATTTGTCGCCGAGAATCAAATAGATTACACGATATTTGGAAAATGGCAAAAAGGAGGGGAAATTCAAAAGGTGGGGTTGAGATGGGAAGTTGGTGACTGAGTGGATCGAGGCCACGATAGCTCAAGTCGTAGAGCAGCGGCGTATCTAACCGAAGATCGTGGGTTCGAATCCCGCTCGTAACACTGACTTTTTTATCTCAACCAATACCTTTCATAAATATTAATTAATTTAAAAATGTTAATTGGTCAATCGGACTACGAACTGTAATGGATTTTTTTTTTCGTTATGAACTATGCATATTAGCCATGTGACAATTCATATATGTGTGTTCAAAGTGTTCAAATTTGGGGGGGTTATTGTGAAAAAAGGGCCAGAGGCGACGGTGGGAATGGAACCCACGACCGCGGCGTGAGAGTCTCTCATGCTAACCACTCGTAATGGATTATATTTATAAAAGATGTCGGTGATCATAAAATTATAGATTGTATTACAGTAAACATATTCGAATCATTTCCACCATAAAATTATGTCTTTGTAGCCTAATCACAAATGCGAGCCGCTGATTTTCTAAAAGTGAATCCCCAGAGCACAATGGGAGAGGAGTTTCAATTGCATTCCGTACCAATATTTGCCGAAGGCTCATCAGCCTGGCCCGCTGTTCACCAATTAACCCAGCATTAGCTCTTTCCGCATCTATTAGCGCTGCTTCCTGATCGATAGCTCGGAAATCGAGAATGCAGACTCTGAGATCCTATTCAACGGCTACGGAGATTTAATTTAATTGCTAACGCTCGTTCGATTTCACCCTCCCAACCCCTCGGCCTCGTCCCTTTGTGTCGACTCCCCAAAACGACAGGAGATCCTGAAATTGCTGAAAGAGGATTATATAATTAACGCTATCTCGCGTTTTTACTCCAGTGGTTTCGAGCAGAAAGACGTTTCATCTCAAAAAGAACTCATTGAATATACATGTTCCCCCAAAACGTTACCAGGTTTAAACGTTTAGAATATACATGGTGTTCTTTTTAGCTTGCCTGACTGAATTTCCTTTAATATTTTTTAGTCTAGTTTCAAATTTTTACCTTTTTTCGGAGAAAAATTATACACGGTACCACAGGCCCGGTTTAACTTCAAAATTTCAAATAAGACCCTGTACATCTTATTACATCATTTTAAAGGGTTTTCTACACTGAAAACAATGGTACAATGGGATTTTAAATTTGCCAAAAAATGACAAAGTTATGACAAAAAGTTTGCAGAAAAAAACAGTCATTTTGCAATTAATTGTTCATATTTCATGTTCGAACTGCTTGACTTGCGTAAAGATGCAAAGGTTTGCTTTTTTTAATCACTTTTCAACCGTGCACATAAGAACAACTGTATCAAATGGGTAAATTCTGTCGCCATTTGTTATTTTTTTATTTTTTAAGGGCAGTTTATAAATAATAGTAGTTTAAAAAGAAACAGCCTAGAAGAAATTTTTGTTCATTGGACACTGGTTTTAAATCAACGTTTCAATTAAAAACTGCATTATATAAAAAAAACTTTGACGAGCTAATTCCCAATTTGCGATAATGTCACAATCGTTAATGAGTACAAGGACAATGTTGAGCCAAGCCTGTAAATAAATTACCGCCGATAAAACAGTATTTAAATATTCACGCCGGCTGTAAACAGAACGATCCCGACGGTTAATAAATGATGCTTCAATTATCAGGGGAGTCACGACGTAATTAGCCGCTTGTAAATTTTTCAAATTTGAAAATCATGTCAACATAAAACGAAGCACAATTGATTCCACGAAAAAGAGGCAAAAGTATTATGGATTAACACAAAAACTTTTAACGTGATAATAATGTTAAAGAAAAAGCTTATTCCGTAACTACAACAAAAGGCAATTTATTTATAATTAATTTCTCATATTTTTACAAATCGCCCAATAGAAAATTCCCTGTGCATGATCTAATTACCTCCATACTATGAAATCTGCCATAAAAACCATAGTTTTCCTATCAGAATACATAATCCTTTCCTACGAACTATTCATTATCCTCTTTTTTGAATATATCGCATCGTTATTCTCATTTGTAAAGCTCACAAACCTCCCAACCACATATCCTCCTACAGACCCTTCATCCTTCAACCCTGCAATGTCAAAAATCCTTTTAAAGTAATTAATCTCCATCTTAAATACCCATGAAATAATTCCCTCTCATCAATTCGGCTTTCGTCTACATCATTCTACGATCCGACAATGTTTTCGAGTTGTCGACATCTCTTCTTCTCCTGAGAACAAAGAGCTTATGTGCCTTCCTAATGTAGCACAGGCTTTTGAAATGGGCTAGCACCCGGGTATGCCTTAAACGTAAAAGTTTCCTACCCGCTCCTTATTACCATATCCTGGAATCCTACCTAACAAACTGCTACTTCAGAATGAGGCAACGAGTACCCGGAAATCAGATCGATACAAGCCGGAGTCCCCCAAGGGAGCAGTCTTGGTCCCATTCTTTACATCATCTTTACGGCTGACCTACTTGCACACACCAATCCATCATCACCACTACGCGGACGACACCGCAATTTTATTTTCTAACTGGAATCCTATCTACTTCCAATATCCAAGAACTTCAGCTTATCGAACGGTGCAAAAAGTGTAGGACAAGACTGAATTAAGAAAAATGTACTCAATGTACGTTCACATTGAAAAAACAGTCTTTCCCTCCTATACGCAAAGAGGTATCGACTCCACTCAAGTCAAATACCTACGGCTATACATAGACAGCAGACTGACGTGGAATCTTCACACAAGACTAAAAGACAACCACAGAAGGACTGGGCAACTACGAAGACTTCTAGGACCGAAATCCCTCTTGACTGTCAACACTAAACTAACTTTATTCACGACTTTCTGTGACCACTTTGGACATACAGAGTGTAACCGTGGGGTTCTGCCAAGCTATCCAACACCCAGCCCATCCAATCCTTCCGATCGAATTTCCTCAGACAAATTTTCAAAACGCCTTACTGGCTTCAACATTCTTTTTGTCAACGAACTGATCCGTTTCCGATTCCAAAATCTAACTTTTCGATCCATCCTAAACCAACTGCCCAGCGCTCTCTACACATTCCTATATCGACAACCCGGCAGGTCGCCTTAATCGACGATGGTTTCGAGACCTCTTTGTCCCTTATTCGGTCATACTGAGTGTCGGCATTGGCAGGCTGTTCATGGCATGTGTCCTCCGGGTGCTGTGCTGGTATTAGAGTTACTGTTGTGACCGTGTTGAAAAAAAGTACTGTGATCACATTTGCAATATGTACAAATATGTATAACCTACAAAAAAATCAATTTCTTCAATTAGTTTTGCTAGGTTTAAACGTTCTATACTAAAAACGACATATTTAACATAAAACTAAAGATATTAAAGGCACAAATGGCAAAAACAAATCAAAGAAGTGTCGTTGCATAAACAGGAATGAATTATGTGTGCTTTCTTAACATGATACACTAAACAAAACAAGCCATAAAAGAAGGAAAATGTAGAGAAATGAAAGAGGCTCAATAAAAAGTGTTTCTGTGTACATGCATTTATTGCATGCTTTAAACCTCATT